TTTTTTTTTTTTTTTTTTTCCCAGTGATGCATTAGGCAAGCGCCATCATGCAGGAGCCCAGCCACCGCAGTTGTCTTCAGCTGTGGGATCAAACCAGCAGGCAGGGTTTAGCTGAGACAGCCAGTGCTCAATCACACACAGATAACCATATCTCCAGCAGCAGCTTGAATAGCCCGGCACCCCCAGGGACCTTACCCGGGTGCCAAAGCAGCTGGCTGCCCAGGACCAGAGCACTGCAGCGAAAGGCTGGAGTGGAAGAGATGATTGCTTTGGAAAGCACAGATACAGCACACAGAGGATGGCAGCCTTCCCCGACTGGAAAAGAAAAGCCCTCTGGCCTTGTCCTCGCCTAGGATGGAGAATCAAGTCAAGTCATCCACAAATATCAGAGGGCCGTGCTGCCTCAGACCCACGGGCAGGGTTACCAGCGAGCACCAGCTAAACACCAAGCTCCTCTTCCAGGCCTCTTGCAAAACAACTCTCTGCCCCAGAAGGCCCTGAAAGGCAAGAGGTGACACACACCAACCTAATAGCTTTCATCACCACCAACCAACAAAGTACACCTACACTGCAGCTGTACTCCACTATCCCTGGTTCTTCTTAGGCTGCAACAGCTCAGGCTGCACAGCAAGAGCCACAACTCCATGGGAAATGTCGTCTACAGCTCATTTTGGAGAAGTAGGTATCAAAAAACAATGTTTAGCTCTGCCCCTCAGACCTTGATGGAGAAACAGCCCTATGTTTCAGAGTCCCTTAGCTGGTGTGGGTTTCCTAAGGAAAGAAAAAAAAAAAAAAAAAAAAATCAGCTTTCCTCTCAAATTCTTTGTGCCCTCTCCTGCAAGCAGAGGAGGTGGTCTGCTCAACGTAGTCTACCCTGGAAATGCTCCAGCTTACCCTGGGAAAGCATAATCTGAGTTATGCATTGCAGAAAGTCAAACCACACCATCAGAAATTTGTCAGACAGCAAAGCTCTCCTGTTCAGTGCCAAGAGCCAGACTGGGATCCTCTAATATCCAACAGCACGGCCAACAGCCAGCCAAGTGCCCGAGCAAGACTGCTTCCATGCATGCACTCCCTGGCAGAACTTGGGACTCAGTCGACGCTGCCAAGAGATTTGGGTGTCTCCAGCAATCACCCTCTCCTCCATGGTATTTAACTGAAATCCCAGCATTTGGGAGTCACCATCTGCAAGTCCTCAGACGAGCAGGGTTTCTCAGTAAGTTTGTAAAGGCATACCCACCCTGCTCCCGAAGCACAAGCTATTTACCGTGCATTTACCAGCTCAGCAAAAGTTGCACATAGCAAAGAGGGGTTGGGGGGCAGAAGCACATGAAATTCCCCATCAATCATTCATCTTTCTTTCTGAGCACGGTGAACCCAGGGGATGGAGAGCACAGCCCCTGCCTCCTGAGAAAGGCACAGAGCTGGAGGGAAGGAGCAAGGGGACTTTGAGCAGAAAGCACAGCCCCGTGCACTACGCCCATGCTCTTATGATTTCAGCCCACCCTCTGCCCTCCCGACACGTGCACGTCCCCATGTCACAGGCGCTCTGCTCAGCACCCCCCCAGCCACCAGCCCCTCCACATCACGGCGGCACCGAGCTGCTGAATCAGGGAGCACACAAGGCCTTTAGCCCCAAAATCCTGCACCCGGCCAGGCTCCGAGTGCTGAGCCAGCACCGCTCGGGGCTGTCGCTCATCAGCAGGACGACTGCGGGACTTGCTGAGTTAGAGGTTCTCCTCGGCCCCCCGCTGTCACGGGTTAACAAGCGGGAGGAGATGCTGAGGCAGCGGACTTTGGGGGACCCAGGGCTGAGCATCCCACCAGGTGCTGGAGGCATCCCAGCAAGCTGGTGGAGAGCCGAGAGCCTCAGCTGCACGCTCTCCTGCCCAGAAATAACTAAGGGAATCAAATAGCAGCCAGCCTTGGCAGAAGCCCCGGGGGGAGCCCGGCCTCCCCACCTGCCAACCATCCCAGGCGCCTTTCCCAGCTTCACCAGCATCTTCTCACACTCACATTGCCCGGGGGGTGACGGGGGTAGTCAAGTATTGTAACTAAATCCTGGCAGGTTTTCCCCTCTGTCATGCACTGCTCAACCTCAGCAGGCTTTACAGAGGAGATCAGTCCTCCAAATTTAGTTTCCTCTCCTAGTTTTAAGCAGGACGTGCAGGACCAAGGGCTGATGAAAAGGAGGGACACATTGTCCCCAGCCCACCCGTGCAACCTTGCCCCTGACACAGCGTGGCCCAAGAGCAAAGCCAAGTGAGTGCGATCAGCTTGGGTGCAATGATTAAAGCGTTTCCCACTCTTTTAAGACAACATTATTCCAGCGATGCTAAAATGTTATTGCTAGGATGAAGGGAAAGTGGAATTGCACTCGTCTGAATGGCCTCTTTTGTCATGCATTTTGCAAGGCACTGAGGCATGAAAGCTTTCAGAGAAACTCGGGTGAATCCAAGCTAGGTGGTTATAAGGCTAGTTACAAACCCGACATGATGGATCATCTTCATTTTCCCATTCCTGTCCTGCATACAGCAAATCCATTTGCTGGGCAATTAGACTCCAGTCATTACATTACGCTAAGACCACATTCCTTTTGCCAGCGAGGGGGACCCCAACCAGGAGGAACCCAGACCGCTGCCTGCCCATCCTCACCTCCTGACAAATCCAGAGCTACAGGTAACCCCACCTGCAGCAACACCACCTCCCCAGCACACCGGTGAGCATCGCGCCTTGCCAGAGAGACCTCCAGCAACTCACCTGGCATCAGTATCTACGCAGCCCTCCCTTACCTGCAGCCCTCTAAAAGGTTGGGGATTAAACGAAATGGCCCTTGGAATGATTTTGCTTAAGGCAGTGAGCAGCACAATAAAGACAGACAGTCCCTCTCCTGCAAACTCTTTTTTTAAGGGCTGTTAATCAGCCAGTACTCCTGCTTTCAGAGTAAAACACACCGAGATCCGGTCCCACCAGTCATTATCCCTCCTCCTCTCCCAGCATCTCCCTCCTCTCTTGCAATTTCTTCTCCGGCCCCTTCAACCCCTTTCCTCACATCTCCTATTCCCTCCGCGTGCGTGCACACGCGCCTGTGTGCTTCCATTTACTTCTGGGTGAAATAACTGACTAGAGGGTCAGTCCACCTGAAAATTGCTCTCCCCGGACCTAAATGAAACAGATGGGCATTGATGATGTTTTGGGAAAAATTAATCAGCCTGGACCAGCAGCAGCGCCAGCAGCTCCCTCGGCCCAATCTCGCCTAATGAATTCTGAGCTCTCTGTCTTAATAGCTCCTGACAAGACTAATTTACTCTTGTAAGTGATTAGAGGGGGAATGATCTCTTAATTGTTGCTTAAGATTCCTTATGGCATGGCAGGCAGCAATCAGGGAGGGCTTGGTTTGGTGCTAGGTGAGGCTGTGCCCGGGGAAAGCCTGAGGGAGGGGAGGAGGGGGCTGCGCGGGGACCTTCACTCCACACCAGGGTGATGGGTGCTTCTAATAGTCCTCAAAAAAGGAGCTGCATTTTTTCTGGGTAATAGGCGCCACATACTGTTCTACTACTTACACCCCAGTCAGGATACAAGAAAGGTGTTTCCAGACAATGCCTTTTTTTAAGTGAATAAGCCTAACTCAGAAAACATCTACCAACAGCAGGAAACACAGAAACACTGTTTGTCAACACTTTCAAGGCTGACATTTCCCTCTGGTGCATCTGGAAACAAAATCCCAGGGTGCCAATATTCTTAAGAGTGAATTTCATTTCTGTACAGTGCAATACAAAGTTTAAAAAAAATAAAATTCAACCCCCCAAAGTAATTCCAAGAACAATTTTATTCGCACAATCTCTCACTGGAAAGCAGACTGTCAGAAATCTTCCCTCATTTTCTGCCAAAATAGGAGTTCAGTCCAACTCCCATAAGGTATTTCAAGCTTAAGTACTTCGAGAACCATGTCCTTGGTGAGGAAGCATTTCCATTAAGCTGTTCCCAACCAGCTCTCACTCCTGCTCTCACACAGTTGCTTCCTTCCCTGGGATTTGTCCGGGGCACATCCAGCACTAAGTGTGTTTGCAGGGACACTGGCAATTGAGGGGCAGAGAGCATACCCAGAGCAGAGCAAATAAACCAGGGGTGAAGTGACCTGTAAGGGGCGGGCTCACTGAGAAAGGCCATGAAAAATGACATGGATGCAAGTCATCAGGGGAAAAAAAAAAAAAAAAAAAAAATTACAATGAAGTCAGGTCTTTCCTTTCCTTACATTATTCGCAGCTTGCCTTCTGCAATGTTGTGAGTAAAAGCACCCGAGCAGCAGATTTCGGTATTACTTCACATCGCAAATAAACCTGAGCATCACTGCAAGACAGAACTCCCCAGGCAGATGGCTGCAGCTCCAGCAAGCCTTCTCCCGAGGACCCATCTCCATGCAGAGCTCAGGTACCACACCTTCTAGCCAACACTTGCAACCGAGACCCCACGTCCTGCCTGCTTGCTCAGACACCACCCCAAATCCCACCAGCGGGACACCATGGGCTGCAAAAGATGCAACTGAGGGGACCCCCAAGAAGAGACAGAAGCCTCATCTGGAAGCCTGGGTCACTAGAGGAGATGTCTCGAGAGTCTTCCAACCCTTGACAGCTCCGGCGATGACTTAGGTGCTGCAAGAGCCCTTTTTTAAGGAGGGTGCTGCTCGGGCTGCATGGTTGAAGGCAGCAGTAGATGTGAGAAGAGGCCTCCATAGCCTCCATCCCAGCCACCCTCCGCTCCCAATCGATTCCTCCCACATTAAAAGCCAGTCACGAGCCCTGATTGAAGAGCACAGGTTTAATGGACTGAGAGCCTGGAAAGAGGCCGAGAATGACCGGGTCGATTTCTGCATTTACTAAAAACCGATCCCTAGCTAAATAAAGAAAGAAAAATAAGCTACATCTGTCAATCAAAAAAAAAGCATTTCTTCAATGCTTTTCCACGAGCAGACCCCCTGCCCACGGGCATGCCCCACTTACCCACAGGAGTATCCTCGTTGATCAGCAGGTAGGTGTCGAAGAAGTAGTTTATGAAGTACGGCAGCCGATTGCCCCAACCTGGGAAGAGGACAAAAGCAAGCTGTTATTTCCCTGGCATGTGGTGCACGGGTGTCCTGGTTCGGGCCAGCACGACTGGGAGACACTCAGGGCATGGAAGGATGCACACGGGAGAGCAGGCTCGCTGCTTGGCATCATGATGGCAAGGGGTAACACCAAGATGAGGGCTAACAAGAGGACAGAAAGCACCACGTAGTGCCCCCGTAGAAGCTGGCTGGGTAGCTGCTTCCCTCCACCTGGATTTTCTTTTAGTATTTTCTTTTGCAGGATGGAGGCAGAGGGGAAGGGGGAAGCCAACAGCTTGGGGACCAGAGACATCAGTTATTGTTTTAGCGCATGATTAATACCTTCGCTTCGTTCCCATGGTTGAGAGACTTTTGCCTTGTCAGCCATCCCAGCAAAACCCGGTGCGTCTCCCCTCTTCCATCGCCCGATCGCCTTTCCCTCTAATTGCCTCCTTTCACCTTTAATAACCAGGCTCACTTCTTGCTACTCCCTTTTTAACGGAGCTGGAAGCTTGCGAGCCTGCCCCCCGACCGCAGCCTCATTAGGTGACAGAGTCAAGCACGGAGCATGTAGGAGAACAGTGACTGCAGCCTGAACCAGGGAAAAAGTCAACCAGGAAAGATTTACCGTTAGAGGGATGCAGGAAAAGAGGTGGCGAGAGAGAATGTAATGACTTTCCAAGAAGGTTTGGTGTTGAGTGGGCTGCATCTGAGGGATGGCTTTTCCTCGAGACGCAGGTATTTGAGGTGCTGGAGCTGGCCAAGCCCGGAGGCTTTAAGAAATGCAGTTCAGCTGCCAGGCATCAAAAACAGGGCTGTGCACAGGGGGAAGCGGAGGTTTGAACTGGTCTGGCCAAAACAGTTCACACCCTTTGATGGGGAGTCCCAGGAGGGGAGGAGGTAGGACCGGGGTCCCGAGCAAGGAGGCTCGCTGGAAGCGATGGGGCAGCGCTTCCCCACTGTGACCCCTCAGTAACTGCCTTTGATGGGAGCAGAGCCAAAACCCAAGACTGTAAAAATATAAAAAACTGCCAGCAAAGCGGCCGCGGGACACCCCCTCCCAACCCCTCACCACGCCAGAGATGCAGATCCAGCCAGGCTCCTTTTGACACAGCCATCACAGAGCAAAACCCTCCATCGTTACCCCAGCTGTGCTGCAACAACCAAGACATTGATTCCAGCAAGGGCACGGCAAACCCCAGATGAGATTGGGTGTCCAGGTCCCCCTCCTGACCACGCTAATGCTTCACCACCACCTTCACGCCCTGAACTTCAGCATCCCACCTTCAGTAACAAGAGCCAGACCAAGTTTTGGCATCCTCTTCGCCTGCCCAACCTCCCAACGCAGGTCCCAGCTGTGCTCCCACACAAACCTGCTCAGCACCCTTGGGAAACCCGCTCAGGAGGGGGGGACATGGCTTAAGGGAACAGCCTGGGCTCCTTTGGGGCTTCCTCCATAACAAGACAGGGATTTTCAGCACTGCTCTCTTTCCTCAAGGCACCAGGTTTGTTAAACGCCTCAAAAAGTAAGAAAGCACTAGAGGCAGCACTCTTGCAAAGGCAAATTTAAATCTCAGCCTCTGAAGTTAAGTACCTGGAAAGAAAATGAGAAGGAACCCGACAAAATGAGTTATTTAGAGCTAATGGCATCTCCGGAGACTTTGAAGCACACTCGTAGCTGGCTGCCGTGCCGGGGGCAGCAGGTTTTGAAGGGGGCAGAAGAGGTTAAAACGCACCGAGCAGCCCTTACCGCAGGGGACTCACTTCTGCAAAGCCTTCTATTTCAAAATGCATTTCTTAATATCAGTAGTATACTAAAAATAAGTTGCGTCTTCCAAATCCAACTGCATCAGGTGCTGGGAGACACTGAAACCACCAGTCTGCAAGGACACAGGATCCACGTGTTAAGAGAGGAGGGCGACTGGCACCTGAGAGTTGGGGAAAGCTGTAAGAGGGTCTGGAGGCAGGACTTGGCTTTGGACTGCAAATCCCTGGATAAAGAGCCACCACACTGCTGGCATTCGGAAGGGCAGCACGTGATGGGAGGTGGATGGAGAGAAAGAGTTTGAATGATACAAAAACGCAGGCCAAAAGATGCCCTAATGGAAACCATCCCCCCCAAAATAAAAAAGGGATGCTGGGGCTGAAGCCACAGCTCCATCAGCCCTGTCCCCCTGCCCAGCCTCAACACTGACGTCCTAACCACAGCTATTTCCAGCTCAGACTACTGCTGAGGGCTGCATCCTTGGTGCACCTTCAGGAGCCTTCTCCCCACATCAGATGTGGCCGTAAGCTCTTACCCTCATAACCTGGGTGCTGTCAAAAGGTGCCTAGCTAGTCTGCAAACCACACGTCTCCCACACACATGTCCTGCTGCCTAGTCTAGGGTGGCCAGAAGTTTTCCTTTCCCATTTAACCCAGGGCTGTCAATGTTCTGTTGGCTTTGCGCACACCTTCCACACAAACTAATTCGGGAATGGCAGCCACACTCCACATACCCTGAAAGCGAGTTCACGCTTTCCCAAAGGCACCGCTGTGAACCAGCCATCATCTGTAGCTTCATCTAATGGATCCTCAGCTGGATTTTCCTTCTGCCAGACTGCCACAACCACCCAGCTATACCCTGGGATATAGCATCACTGTATCCTCCAACATAGCACTTGCTCGTGCCCCCCACCACAGCAAGGTGCATGACAGAAAACCATCACTTCCACCACACTCTTGTAACCCTTTATTCCTCCTTCACGTGCTACCAACAGGCTCCAAGGGATCACGTTCAATGTTGTTTTGATGTGCTGGGAGATTTTCTTCCCTGTGTGTGCATCTTCCACGCCTGTTCCACACTATTCCTGTAAAACCTGCTGTGATTTTGCCCTTCAGAGTCAGTTTTCACATCCTTGACTGCCGCTGTTGCAAGAGCACCAACCATGGAGCCGATCTTCTAGTTGGCATCCCTTGGTCCCTCCTAACCTGGGAACGATGAAGGTCTCTGCTCATCTCCAGTGACTGCAGCGGTAGCTGGGTGGGAGTGGGCAGACTCCACTGCCATGCCAGAGCTAAACCATCCTCTTCCAAACACACCGAGCCCGCTCAGGCTGCACGTCTGCATTTACCCAGCTAATTCCTTTGCCAGGAGAGCTTTGCAAGTCTTCTGGGAAGACGAGCTCCATCACCTGCAGTCCCCGGGGCATATGGCAGGGCATCCACACATTCCTCCTCCCCATCCTAGGCACAAGTGTTGCGCCGGTGCTTGCTTATTGAGGGCCAACACTCCTTGGGGGGAGATGGCAAGCAAGTTCTGGGCAGGGCAGGGTTTAGGAGAGAGGGGCTGACACGCTGCTGATCTGCAAGCCTCCAAATCCCCACTGCCCTGCACTGCCTCTCCAAGGCTTTGCAGCTTGCTATTGCCTCTCTGCTGGGTCCAGCCAGGCACCCTGAGCAGGGCAGTGCACACACGAGTGCTGACACTGACCCCACAGGGAAGGATGAAGGAGCAAGTTTCCAGCCAGGCAAGCAAAACCCACCATCCCACCTCCAACCGTACATGCTGGACCACTCATGGCAAGTGATTTCTCTAGGGGCTGGGGGGGGGGGGGAAGTTTTAGGAGGTTCAGACTGGAGCAAAGGACTCACTGGGTTGTCTTTTTTTACTTATTTTTTCCCCTTCCAGAGGAGTGACAGGGCAGTTAACTAGTGAGTATATACTTGATCCAATACGACACCAGAGGGAGATTGACTGCACTTGTCAGTCACAGCTAATGCCATCCACTGACTGCTTAATCAGGCTGCCAATCTGGGCAAGCCATCTCGAGGCTTCAGTAGGGGGCGGGGAAAAAAAAAAAAGCAAAAAAGCCTTTATTCCAAAGGGCACAGTGCTATCAAATGGACGCACGCTCACTATTGTTTATCAGCAAGCACCACACAGGCACACACACCCCCCCCCCCAGCCTCCCTCACCCCCCAGCAGCACCCAGGGGATTTAGCCCATTCATGCAACAATCCCAATTTTCACGGGGCTTTGCTGTATGTTTACAGTACTTATGCATCCCAGATATGCCAACGCCTGGCCCAGGAGGCACGTTTGCCACGGGAGAAGGTAGTTGTCCCACAAGATCCTATCCAGTGGTCAAGCTGGAGCCCATGGCCCCCCTGCCAGGTGATGGCCAAGAGCATCAGGAAAGCTGACCACAGAGGCTCTGCCTGCCCAAAGCCCTGCCCTTCCCTCCAGCTGGAACTAGAGAAGAGGCTTTGCAGCTCGAAGAGGAGTTATTTCCTGCACAGCACATATTAAAGCACAGTTTGGGTAATAATTTTGCTGCTGAAAGCACAGGGAGAGCCCTGTCAGTAATACCTCTGCTGTTGAACAGCTAACAAGCTTCTGGTTTACAACCTTGCCTTTTCATCTACACCCTCTAATTTCCTTCAGGGCTTATTTACATAAAATGACCTAACGCCATATCTACCGCCAGGTCCACCACCAGCTTTGACTTTCTGAACCCAAATCTGGAAGTTGCCAAGGTCTTCCCACTGAGATACAACAGGAGTATCTACCACCATTGGGTTCACCGGTGCATCCTCCCCTTCCAAGCCTCTTTCCAGTCCCACCGTTCTCTCCCAGGAAGGGCCATCAGATGCCACATGTGCCCCTTTACCAACTGCAGTGAAAGCAGATGCACAGGAGTCCTCAGGATCACATCCGATGGAGGGGGGCAGTCTGCTTACCCCCACCAGCCACGTCTCCCCATCACCACAGCAATGCTGCTCTGCCTTTAGATGTATTCACCAGAATACCTCAAACACAGCAAACATTACCCTCGTACCTCAAAAAAAAGGAGACCCAAGCAGGGAGAGGAGGGGAGAGAGAAGAGCACGGCACTGGACAGACAGAAAGACAACTTACCTGGAGAGACCAGCTCCAGGAGCAAGAGGGGAAGCAGAAAGTTGCCGGCAGTAGCATGGCACTTCATGGTTCCTATCAAAGAAGAAAGGCAGCGTCAAGTCCAGCACCTTATGAAAATGACCCCGTCTCCCCAGAGCAAGCTCAGGGACACAGCCCTGCCCCAGTTTGCACCTTAGTGCCCCAGTGCTTCAAGCACAGTCACTTGCGAGGGCAGGGAACACACAGGACATCAGCATTTTGTTAACACTTGGTTTTTACACAGGGCACTTCACCCAAGAGTGCCTCCACCACCACTTTCTTGGTTCATACAGCCCCAACCATCATCTTGGCGAGCACCAAACTGAAACCAGGATTAACCCGGCGTAGGTGATACTGTTTATTATTATTTTCCACTTTCTAAAGCATATTTGCTCATCTTGCATGAGGGGATAAGCCACAGTGACGTCTGCGGTCAGGACTGGAGCAGAAGCAGCCCCAGCTGAGACGAGCTGCTCGAGCACTGAGCAAGATGTTAAGGAAAAGCCGTGACACAGCAGTGAGCCGTCAGCACCGGGATTTAAGATGTTTGGGCAAAGCTGCATGGGAAGCTTGACCCAGAATCACTGAAGAGGCACCGGGATATTGGAGGACAAAGCAGAGTCCCTCAAACCACCCGGGAGGCTGAAAAACAGGCACTGCAAGAACACAGGGAGCAGACAGGCTTGCAGACGTGCCAGCATCCCGCTCTGCCTCTCAAATTTCCCCGTCTTCGTATTCGATACAACACATGACTCCTCACGATGTGACAAGAGAATAAAACAGTGACAGGCAGCTGCTTAGCATGCCCGCACCCTCACATGGCTTTCAGACCATTAAATACAAAGTTCTTTTCCAAGCCAGCCCCCCAAAATCTCAGCAAAGTCCCACTTTGCAAGGAATTTCATACGCGTGACATTTTAAGACATTCCACCCCAGGAGCAAGTATAAATCACATATGTTCCACGCAGCATACAGACACAATGGAAATCCCTCAGGCAGCTCACACAGAGCCTGAAGCAGACAGGACACCTCAGTGACCCTTCTCTGAAGCTCTCCATATTTCTGCAGGTGCTGTGAAAGGTGTGGGGCAGGGGAACGTTTTCCTACCACCTTAGCACATCCATGCAGCAGCGGACCCAGGGACACGCGAGGCAGAGAGCGTACGTGACAGCCAGCCTTCCGAGCAGCAAACACAGAGATGAACCAGTAATTAAATGCATAAGCAGCTCCCACTTGAGATCTAAACTCTGTCTTGAGCCCCGAGGGCTGAGTAATAAACCCCATCTTCCATTTACCGGCCTAAGCAGGGACTCGTTAGGCTTGCGACTGGTTGTATACACAGCAAGTTTTGGTTCACCCGGCGCTCGCAGCACTTGGAGGACAGATCACGGAAGCCACGGACTGGAACAAGCTGCTGTGACACCTGTGATTCCCACTCCAGGAGCACCCAAACACACAGCCCACCACCTCCACCCACCCTCACCCTCCGTTTACCCCAAAAGCAGGAGCCCAGCCTTCCCTGCACAGCATCCTGCCCCAGAGGCGCCAAACGCGACGACGGCGCGCAGAGCTGCCCAGAAACGTGGCACTGGGTTGGGAGCCCACCTAAGGGGTGGAGGGGTCCCCACCCCGCTGTCACCCCAAGAGACACACGGGCAGCCCACTGCACGGTCCTTACCTCTGCGGGGGAGCCCACACCCCAGCAGGGACGAGCAGATGCTCCTAAAGGAGCTTCAGAGCAATAGCTACGCATATTTTACTTTTGCTGATGGATGTGTCAGAGAAGAGAGTTCATTAACAACTCTGTCACCATAGAAAGGGCCCTAAATTCTAATTTCTTCAGCTGTTTTGCCACAAGAGAGTCACTGGAAGGAAAAGGTCTGTGTCTAGGCAAGAAAAATGGTGCTGTGGTCTTTTTTTTGTGCATCTGTAGGAAATTCAGCACTAGTCTGAGAAGGGATTCGGGATCAGCGCTGCTTAACATTTAGGTGTATCATGCCAATCTCCCCAGAAAACACAGACAGGGCAGGAGAGTTCCATCTTCCACTCCCCCACCCTCAACAAGTTTCTGACTTATAAGCGTTCAGTGCCAGCAGAGCATCCCAAAACCCAGATCCTAAACAAAAATTACCTCTTCCCCAGGAGCCGGGTATCCTATCAGACCTTTTAAATCTGTAGATTTAGCCAACAAAAGCAGAATAGACTCTTCTGACAAAGAAAAACCCCAAACTTCTCTATTTTCCCCCTTTAATAGGTGTCAGGGAAGAGAAAATCTTGGACAACGCTGCTGTTTCAGGCCCCCACATCCCCTGGCCATCATCAATCCCGGGGTGCAGAGCCAAAGATTGTCCTGCTGCTGCCAGAAAGGATGTGATGGAGACAAGCAAGGCAGCTCAACCCCAAGCTCTTCCTCCACCTTCTGCTGTGCCAAAATGTCATTGAGGAAAATGCTAACTTTCTTCTAAAACAGCACCACTATCAGCCCAAGTGAGCGGAAACATTATTTTCCGGCTTCACAGACCATGTTTGAAAAGCAACAGGGCAGTGGAAAAACAATTTACGTGATGTAGAAATAAAGGCGGTTGACAGCATCCCCTTTCAAGTGTCATGATAAATCTAAATATTGTATATTCCAAGTCAGTCACTTCATTATGTAAGTAATTGCCTGAAATGTCATTTTGATTTTGTCTGTCTTCATTAATATTGCAGCTCTTCGCTGGTTCTCCGAGATGGTTCACTCGAATATTGCAAATTTAGGAACGGGATTGAGAAATCTCCGGGGAGAACTTAAAAATTGTGACTAAGAGCATATTAAATTGCACCTTCTGCCTGAAAGAGGCTCTTTGTAGGAAGCATTCGGTGCAGTTTCCAGCATAATAATGTCTCTGGGCAAGTCATCTCTGGGAACTTAACTGTTGTCTCCTGGCTGCAAAAGCACTAATGTTAAACCAGAGATTTCCCAGTCCGCTGGCAAGGGCTCCCCAAGGCACGGGAAGCAGCAGACAGAACCGCATTAAATGGTGATGGATGGGAACCGGAGGAGCCTCTGCCACTGAAACCGCTCTGCGAAGAAGTCCGAGGCTTCAGAGTTTAGGAACTGGCTCGGGTCAAGCAGAGGCTTTGCAGCCTGCTCGCCCCAAATGCCTCCTTCCCGAGCCCGGGAACTGGCTTTTTTTTGCTGTTTAAGCAGCATCGTTGTATCCCTAAACATGGCAAAGATCCCACCCCCTTGGCTATGAAGACAGAGCCCGGCCAGCCCATGCTCCAGTTCTCAGCACACGTTAATCCGAGCGAAGTTGGCAGTGAGGCTCCAAGAGCCTTCTAAGCACCTCACCCCCATGAAACGCCGGAGCAGAGATGCTCCTGCTTCTCGAGCCCAGGCCACATATTGCTCTCAGGGTGCTTAAGCATCGGCTTCCAGGCTGTGCACCTGTATTGGTTATTTTTAAATGCACTGTTGGGGCGCTTGCATACGAGAACAGCTCACACGCACATGCAAAACACACTTAATTGCCTCCATCAGAGCTGCTTCTGTGGCGGCTGTGCCTTGCTGGCAGAGATCCTCTCACATTCGAGCTGCTGTTGGCATCTTCAATCACTCCCCAAACCCCCGGCCCCTCTCCCCACCCACCTGCTCTTCCCTTCCCCAAACTGCACCGCGACACTTGAACCTCAGAATTTATAGTGTCAGCCTCTCCGTTTGCTCTGTGCTGTTCCAGGAGCGTAAAGAAGAAATGAAAGTGTAAATCAAAGAGTCTCCCGAATGGCTTCCATGCGAGGAAAACGTACACGCCTTCCCAAAAAGCCCCTTTCTCTGGCGATGCAGCACAAATCCTGTGCCCCAAAGAGGGGAGCCTGGCACACAGAGCTGCCCACCCGCAGCGTTTACTCCTTTGTAGGCAGCGTGGAAGTCCCCGAGATGCCGCCAGGATCCCACCGTGCCCATGACATCCACCCAACCCCTGGAAGACCCCTCTCACCCCCCCCCCTCCCCGCAGCACGCCATCCACGCCCACTCTCCCCAGTTTCCTCCATCACATCGACCACCTCGGAGGAGCATCCAGGAGATGCTCCCACCACACACACGTCAGAGAAACAACCCCCGCCATCCTCTTCAGCAAAGCCCATCGCTTGGCACCAAGCCTCACGCCAAAACACGGCAGGTTGCAGAGGCACAGCGGCTCCCGCTCTCCCAGCTTTTCAATCCCTCTGCTCCTCAAACGGAAGCACCGCTAGAAATGCACCTTTTCTTCTTATTGTTGCTCCTTGGCCGGGTCTTTACAATAAGTAGGATTCAAAATGAAAAAAGTTAATTTTTCCCCCCCCACACACACACTGGCATGAGCTACACACAAATCATAATTCCTAAAAATAACAAATTGCAGAACAGGGTAATCAGAAGTAAATTGATATTGATAAATAAGCTTTTCTTCCATGCGGTAGGTGGTTTATTTTAATCTAATGAGTTTTATATTTTCTGAGCTTTCAGATTCCATGATGAAGAGCCGTCCGCGCTAGAATTACGAAGCACTTTGAAATATTGTAATTTTATGGCTCATTTTGCCAGGACTCTTGAAAATGAGATTTGTTCCCAGTGAAAAAATTTGCCCTTTTTTTCTTCTATTCCCTGCAGTGAAGGAAAAAATTCCCTTGTTAAATAAATACAGGCCAGCATATTTGTATGCGTGGGGGGGGGGGAAGGATGGATGCACACAGAGCAGGGAGCAAGAGGGGCACGCTGCCAGCGGCTGCTAGAGCCCACCTAAGCCCTGAGACAGTGCTTGCAGGAAGAATAATGTGAAGGATCCTCTCTCCCCTTCCTCCACCCCAAAAGCAAAGCTGAGGTCAGACACCCGTGTTTTCTCCCCACCCAGCCCAGAGGATGCTCACAAAGACGGCAGCGTGTTCGAGCTGCTCTGCGCATCCCAGCTAGCACCAATTGGTGGGACTGAAACCTTTCTCCTGGCCGGGAAAAAGCTAGAGCTGTTTGTTACTAACAACTAGTAACAAAAAAAAAGTTTCCCACATTCCCAGCAGTTTACTCCCATTTCAGA